CTCCATTTTTTTTGTCAGTCAAACAAAAAATGACAAAGGTAGCGTCAAAGTTTGGGAGTGGGAGCTCGTAACGTCACTTCTAAATAAAAATTGTACCAAGACGTGACGTGATACGATATCAAATCAATATAACTCTGTAATGACTTGATTATGTAAAAATACGTGTCTTAAACTGGTTTGAAAACCTAACTTATTGGAGGAGAAAACAGGTTACTCATTGTCCGTATTTTTTAAAATATGGATAGTTTTAGAAAATTATATTTTCTTGTGAATCTAGAAATTGTTATTTCATATAGTATTGTAGATTATGATTTTTAGGCGCTGGGCGGGATTTAAACCAGCACTCTCTTTCGTTCGGGTGAATGATTTACTTTTAAATCCTAATGGATATGCTGAAATAGTTTGGAGCTGCAAGGTTCATCTCTTTCAGTAAAAATCACACCCGCTTCATGAAAGATTTTTATAATTAACATAATATTAATAAAATATTCTTAAATATAAGTCTTAAACAATAGTATCCACATCGTCGTCCGTGTGCGACTCCATCTAGCAATTGGCGTCCATATTAAATTTGCAAACTCCATTTATTTTGTACATATTAATAAATTAATAAATAAAGTCCGCAAGGGAGACGTATCTTAAAGGTACATCGTAAAGGATCATTTGGAATGATCCTTTACGATGAATGAATGTAGTTACATTCGATTTAACACCGCACTGAAGCCTCGAATCTAAAATTTATATTCCAACGCTTATGAAACCCGGAGCGTGTAATATCTCTCCATCGCATTCTTCCCCTGAGATACACGAACCTCACCTGGTTGTACATTCTGCCTGTTCCAACCCGGCGCACAACGTCAAAGGGCTGAATGTTCTGACAACTGACAAATGGACGTAAGTGGCAGATAAAATATTGTGTTATTCGTTTTGTTGTGTTCCGTTATTTGGGAAAAGTCATCAATTGAGACTGTGTTACTCCAAATAATTAGGTAGGTAGGTTTGTGAAATGATATTCTTAAAAATTAAAAAAAAAACAATAAGTATTTTTTGGTTGTTTTGTGTAACTTTTGCGCTTTCGCAGTCCTTACCAATTTTATAATTGCTTGTTTTAGCTTTATTTGTTTTTTTAGTATGAAAAATCTGTTGTGAATTACATAGCTTTTAGGTAAAATTATAACAGGTATTGAATAATCGTTTCCATTATTAGGCATATATTACGACTTTTTCGTAGTTACTACTTAGGCTTCGGGACCTTAAAATATTTTGGGTGATCTTATTATTTATGAAAATTTATTGTATATTTTGTTTTATAAAAAATAAACTGAAAAGAGTAATCCATCAGCCTCTTCATTATATTTGTGTCATGTATTTTTTTTTGTTTTAACTATTTTTACCCACGATTGTCTTTTTTTTTATAAAGCCAGGTAGGCAAATGACTCTACCCCACCTGATGTTAACTGGTGATATTAGCGCTGGTATCACATTAGCTTTAGCTGAGGCAATATCCTGGGGATAAATTGTCAAACTTAATATCTTTAAAGCTAAAAATAAGTATGATTATGGCTTAACAGAATTTTTATGCTTACAATGAATGTAAGGGGATCATCATTATCAGTCTATTAATGTCCCCACTGCTGCGGCACAGGTCAATCCTATGGATGGAATAGGGAGATTGGGCCATGACCCACGACGTGGGCCGCCCAGTGCAGATAGGTGGGTGGTAACGCGATGGTTGAAAGTTATTCAATCTGACCCCTGGTTAGGACGAAACGTAAAAAGGATTAATATAAACTTTTTTTTATGTTTAAGCAGATTCTGTAATATGTCGAATCATTAGTCTGAACGAGATGAAAACTTTGGTGATTTATTTGCCTTATTTTACAACTACGTGCTCTTTTAGTATAATGGCCCGATAAAGTAAAGATCTGTTTTTTTGCCGAAAATAGCTAGTATTTACTTAACTACGTACTACGCAAGAGTAATATTATAGCATCAGCTTGTGTCATAATAGCTTGTGAAGTATAATAATATATGGCGGCAAAACCTCTCGCCTTCGTACAATAGACCCTAGAAAGGGTTTGGAGCTCGAAGCCTAGTCAGCATATACATATATAACACAGCTGTTTTCATAATGCTAGAATTACTATGCGACTCCAGTAATATAAAAAATGGAATCATTCATTATCCACCATGCTTAATAGTTCTTTTAGAATAATGGTATGGAATGGAATGGATGGACGAGAATCTTTATCAGGACCTTTATTTTTTTTCTATTATGTGGAATAGGTGACATCCGTCATTTTCTTCCGCCTGTGTTAATACAATTTGTGTATTTTCCATGATATCTCTAAAATTTCCGATAATAACTGTTTCACATTCCTGTCGAATATCTTTCTGAGGGCTGCGACTGTCTAAGGCTTGTTGGCGTAAACCCGAAACTTCAACTTGTTCCAAAGAAAGAAGTCTGTGGCGGTGAAATCAGCTAATCTCGCTGGCCATGTCAAAAACCTTGTTGAACCTACACATCGATGGTATAGCTCACAGATGTGGTATGTGCAATAAAGTAACTTTTACACAATAGCGTTTTTAAAGTTTGGATATCTGGTATATTTAGGCGTTAATAGTTGTAGCGGCTATATTTAGATGTACCTGTAAACAAGTTCATTGGCTAACATAATATATGTAACTAGAGGAATTAAAATAAAATTTGAATGATTAAGTTTGAATTAATTTCTTATGGGTGTGCACTTACCCCTTCTGTGTACTTCTTTATTGTACATACCACATTTGACTGCTTTTGATATTAGGTTTTTAGAGAAAAGAAAAACCTTTTTATAATGTATTAAAAATGATTTAATTCTATTTTTTTTCCAGTCAAACTGCCGCACTCAAAGATGCCAGTTAAATTTAATTGGCAATTAAATATCTTTCCTATTTATTTTATACTAGCGGATCACCCGCGTGGTACCCATTCCTGTGGAAATATCGGTATAAAATATAGCCTATGTTAATCAGGGATACTGTAGCATTCTAAAAAAGAATTTTCGAAATCGCTACAGTACTTTTTGAGTTAATTCAGTACATACATACAAATCTTTCCTCTTTATAATTATTAGTATAGACTAGACATAAATAAGAGACAGAGATTTAATTGTCAATTTAAGTTAACTGGCGTCTCTCGAGTGCTGCAGTAAATCTTGGAAGCATAGCATTAATCTGTTGCATTATTAAACTCAATAAGATTATACAAATTTAAAAAAATATGACAGAACGTCAGGGTTGCCAGTTTAGGTGTCAAAATATGCAAAGTGCCACATATCACATTTGTACAATTAAGTTGTAAATTGCTTGTGAAAGCCGAATGAGGTTAGGGCACATGTAACAATTGACTGCTACAACATTTTAATTTGTAGTGAATTTATCACACTTAGTACATTAGTAGATCATAACCGGACCAACATACGCTCACCACATTTGTGCACAATAAAATATGTTACAAGAGCAAACTCTGTGTACTTAACTCAATTTTCAATAAAAACGTACTTACCACATCTGTGAGCTATACCATCGACATGTTCATTTACGCTCCTGCGGCGTATCGTGCTCCATTACTTGTGTATTCGTATTCTGCACCTGTCTAGATGTTAAATATGATTGAAGTGCGACGCCATTTGCAAAAATTATAACATCTTTCGATACAGTGATTACATGTGCAGGGATTAAAAACTTCCAAAAACAACAAAACTTTCGAAATGGAATTCCAAAAACCTTACTTTAATACTACTAAATATTCATCAGCTACAATATAAATTGTTTTTGAGTAATTTTGTGTTATGATTTCGTCCGTTTCATAAATCAATGATTACTTAAAATTTTCACATTATATTTAAATTTTAGTATGTATGTGTATAATAAAAAAATAGCATTGCATACATAAAATATTAAATTTTATTAATATTATGAATGACGCAGTCCTTCAATTAATGTTGTAAAGGCAGAGCTGGGCAGAGCTCTATTCCCGGCAGGCTTATTAAAAAACTATTTTCTGTAGAATAGATTTCAACCTAAAAGAATGCGGTTATCTTAAAATGGTTAAGCTTAATTAAATAAATGATTTTACAACCGCAATAAAACAAAAACAAAAAGCAGTTAAATGGTTTGTCATATTAACACATTATAGAAAAAATGAAACTTCAATAACGTGTACATAAATGGCGTATCATCGAAATTTAAAACGAGGTTAATTGGTTCCAACTAACACGACTTTGGTTTATATACTCGTAATATATAGATTTAATAAAAAGTGCAAAGCAGCAGACTTATAATAGTCATCTCATTAATAATTGATTACAATTCCTTTAACTTAAATATGAATCATATTTTGAAGAAGTGTTAATAATGATGTCGACGAATATAATGTATTCTAAAGAAATAACATGAAATGTATTACAAATAGTGCAGACTAAAGACAATGGCACGTAAAAAAGCTGTAACGGCTGATTTACGGCGAGTTATATGACATCAGAATGTAATAAGAAACGGATTATGGTCCTTTTTTACTTTATAACATTCGGAACAGATTTATCGATTAGTTTTGATGATAAATATTAAAGATTTATATTTAAAAGTGTTACAGTAATCTCATCAATAAAAATACTTAGTGTGTTTTTCATTTTCCTAGTAGTTTATTAATCAATTATAAGATTGAAAAAATATTCTTATTTAATTACCAGTTAGGAAAAAGTGAATAATTATTTTATATATGGTTAAGAACCATACCTTAACCAAGATTTACAAAAGTAAAACTAATTAAGCTATAACAGTTGAAAAATACGACGTGTCAGCCTAAACCAAATGTGTTCAATCAATTTAAATTATTGTATTGTTGCAGATAGTCACAAATGCACAAAAAAATCTAAACATAATATCAATGTAGTGCACGTACACAACGTATCCGTTCCACATTCGTTCAAATCTAATTAAAAAAGTGTGCCACGAACCTGTGTCGCGCCAAACACCGCACACGCCACGCCATAAAACCCAAAAAAAAAACTAAAGTCAAAACCACGCACACATACTTTTTTACGCGACGTGATATAATTCGAAATTCCAATTCGTATTTCGGACCGCGCACTCGTAAGTTAGCAAACGATCATGTTTGCCCGTAGCCAGCGGACACACGTAGACTCTGCAGCGACTACGACGCGGCACTGGCGGTAAGATCGCCACTCACCAATGTGTGAGCGGTGTGCGCAAGCCCGCCAATGTGTGCCTGCCCTAAGCCGAAATGTCGGCTGAAATGTTGGGCTTTTTTCGCGAGTATTTGTTTTCACTGTTCATGGAGTCGACTTTCCCATTTCAATTAGTTGATTAATATAATATCTGTAAACATGCAATATTTTGTACGTTATGTGAAACGAAAACGCACACGATTTGTCACTATGTTTCTTTATAAAGTTTGCTATAGGTATCAGTCCACTTTGGTATAATCGTGGCATTTTGTAGATCTAACTTCTTTCCAGCACTCAATTTTTGTTCAAATAAAAAATATAAAAATAATATCCCATGTTGGGATGAGAATGCATGTTTCCTGGCGACATATAAGTTAAATGCATGTCATATATAGTGGCATCGATATCGATACGGTGATATAATATTCTTGCAATAATTGGAGACATTGAGCTGTGCTTCAACACATCACAACTTTTATGCTGATGATATGAAGATATTTGTACCTATATATTCTGTCGCTGACGCTTTTTCGTTGTAGGAGGACTTTAACAGTCTTGTATTGTGTTGAGAACCATTTAGATCTTAATCCGTTAAAGAGTATTGTTGTCAATGTTGAAATCGTAAACAAGATATATTTTGATTATAAATTAAGAGGCTCAACATTGCAACGTGATACTGTCGCGAAGGACCTTGAAGGTCAAATGACAATAAGCTCTTATTCGACGCTCATATAGATAATAGCATTCCAGAGACTTGGAAAATGCAAAAACATTAAAGCTTTTATATTGTTCATTTGTTCGAAGCCGTCTGGTGTATGCGTCCCAGGACTGGAACCCTCTGTATCTTATGTATATAACGCGCATTGAAAACATACTGAGAAAATTTAACAATTTTGTCTGTTTTCGCACCAAAGAGCACTATGATTAAAACCAATATTTATATTTTTGTAAGAAACACCACTTGTTACCTCTGCAAAATCGCCGCCATATTGCAGATTTATTATTTTTATTAACTAGCTTCTGGGGCTATCGACTGCCCAGCTCTACTGTCTAGGATTTCCTATAGGGCTACAACAAAACCACTTAGATTTAAGCCCCTTATATGCATTCCACAGGCAAATTCAAATTTTAGACAGAATTCGTATCTCTTCTATGCAGGTAATAGTTTTAATGTTATATTTGAGAAAACTGGCATTGATTTGTTTGACATTATAGTTCCATCACTGAGGTGGGTATTGAGCAGTGCATTTTTTGAGAAATAGGCAATTGTACAATGCTCTTTCTTGTAATTATTATATTATGTGTGCTTAATTATGTTGTAATGTGTTTTTATTGGTGAAGACCTGTAATTGGTTTTTTGTTATTTTTTAAGATTTTATTCTGTTTATAAATACCTAGTTGGTCTTCCAAAAAAAAAATAATCTATACCTGTTATACTATACTTGGACCATAAGTGCCAGCACTACCACTACATACCTTCACGAGTCATACATAGTTTACTATATTTTACATTACAAAAAAATCTTATCACATGTAAAGAAAAAACAAACCTTCTAAAAATTTACTAGAGCACAAGGAATATTGATCCTCTGAAATTAAATAGATACAACAAAATTGAGTTACGCTTATAGCACGTAACATATTTTTGTGTATAAATAAGAAGCCTTTCTGTAATTGAATTGAAGTTTATCCTAGTTCTTGAAACAGAAATTGAAGCCGAAGTGAAACTGTAAATGCTTTTATTAGTTCTATAAATTTTAACATTAAATAGGGTTGAGATCTCCTTTTAAGTATAGTATTACTTGTATCAGGATATGTCGCTTATTCATTACTGAAATTGCATGCATGTTTAACTGACATTTTTAGTACAATTTTATAAAAACTTGTATTATAATAATTGTGATAAATATAATATGTACATACATATATATAAATAACCCTAAATATCACCCTGACCCAAACCCCTACCCTCATACCCTGACCCAATCCCCTACCCCGTGGAGCCCTGGAACCTTACTCACACCACTAAAACGAAGTGTTATTTTACTGTGATCTTCTGTAAGGTGAAGGTTACTTCCCTTCCCCAGACCTCCCTTAAATAATAATAATAATTTTATTCATTCCATAATACATATAAAGTACAAAAAATTACAACTTTTAAATTTGTGTGTGTGTGTGTGTGTATGAGAGCGAATGTATGTGTGTGTATGGGTGCAAGTGTGAGTAAGTGCAAGTGATATTTTTCAGTATGCAACAGCAAGCAATTTCTCGGTTTCCTCATATGATTTTCCACAAAGCCAGGCAGATAAACCTTTTTTGCATTTTGAGTGAGGTAGGTGATACAGGAAGGCTATTTATTTTATTGTATAATTAGAGGCCAAGAAAGACAAAGACTCTTTTAGTAAACGCATAACTAATCTACTAATCTTAGGTGTAGGGCAGACATTTCTGTTGTTTCTTTTGGCGTTTTCTTAAGTGGTGTTTTTGCGTGTACATGTAAAACTGTATTAAAATTCCATCCATCCATCCATCCATCAACCTTTCTCCGTCCACTGCAGGACATAGGCCTCCCCCATAGAACGCCACAATGCGCGGTCCTGCGCTATCCGCATCCAGCGGCTCCCAGCACATTTGACGATGTCGTCAGTCCACCGTGTTGGGGGCCGCCCCACGCTGCGTCGTCCGGTATGTGGTCGCCACTCGAGGACCTTTCTTACCCAACGGTTGTCAGATCCTCGAGCGATGTGGCCTGCCCATTGCCACTTCAGCGTGCTAGCTCTTCGGGCTATGTAGTACACACCGGTTCTTCTACGGATCTCCGTATTTCGGATCTTATCACGTAGGGAAACACCGAGAATAGCCCTCTCCATAGCACGCTGCTCGACTTTGGGTTTTGTTATGAGGCCGACATTCAGAGACCACGTCTCAGTCCCATAAGTCATCACTGGTAATATTGCAAGCAGTTAAATGAAATAAATAATAAAACTGATAATCGACGTTGAAAGTAAAATTTGTATTCATAAGATCCATTGACAACGTCAAAATATATCAAAAGCACTTCGTATTATTTAAAATTCAACCAAAGAGTTCAGCACACTCTCCTCCTCAGTGTCGTCAGGTGGAAGCTGGCTTTGCTGGAGTGCTCATCAATAGTACCAGCTTGCTCACGGGGCGGCGGAGGGTGCCGCCACGGGTGCGTACATCGGCCATACGGACGCGCCCATCTCGGCCCGGTTCAGTAGCTGTCACGCGGCCTCTCAGAGACGTCTCAAACGTTCCTGGGAGCGCTGCCATCTGCAATCAAAACAAGATCACCTACTTCTATGTTAACCCCCCTGTCGGCTGGCCATTTTCGTCTGTCTTGGAGCATCGGCAAATATTCGCGTAACCAACGCGTCCAAAGATGATCAGCTAGTCGTTGAGAAATTCTCCACTGCGCATCGTCAAATCATCATCAGAAAATATTCCTGTTGTAGGAACTCCTGTAGTGGACCCGAGGAGAAAATGATTAGGAGTCAAAGCTTTCTCTTCATCGGGATCCAGTGATACCGTGGTGTGGCAACGACTGTTATTTTATACGATATTGTTAATTAAAATTTATGATATTCAATTATATGCAATAATGTGTTATGTATAATAATATTTTATAATATTTAATAATAATATATGTTTGTGTAGTAAAATTAATTGGATAAATGTAATTTGTTTATGTAATTTATGTTATTTGCTAATGAATAAAAATGAGCGGACACTGTGACACTGTTTGCTTATAATATTCGTTATAAATTGTATGTTATTTAGTTTGTGCTTCCTATTTTTTCTGTGACTGTTTCTTCCGCTTTTACTCCTTCTGTGTGCTGTGCTGTATGTATATACTGTTGTGTACGTGATTAAACGTTCTTCTGTGCCGTGAATCGTCGTATAATTGTATGTACCCCTATTCTATTTTCTACAGTGGTAAGGGGACGGCTGTTCACCATGTTCTCGGCCTCTGATTGTACTGTCAAAAGCACCTCTTCCCTAGGACTGCGTGAAAATAATGTTGCAGCTAGGGCAGTCTTTATCGAGCGAACTAGCCTCTCCCATACTACCCCAATGTGCGGAGCTTCTGGTGGGTTGAAAGTCCAAAGTATGCCAATGTCAGTAGTCCTGTCCACTAAGTCACTATCATTCAGCAAGCTCTGGACGGCCTTCTTCAACTCCTTGTCAGCTGATCTAAAATTAGTCCCATTGTCTGAATGAATCTGTTTAGGCCAACCACGCCTAGCGGCCATACGGCGAATAGCCATAATCGTAGAGTCCGTTGATAAAGAAGACGCCAGCTCAATATGGACAGCTCGGACACTGAGACATGTAAATATGACGCCCCATCTCTTCTCATGTCGCCGACCTATTGTCACAGTCATGGGGCCAAACAAATCTATGCCACAGTAGCTAAACGGCCTGCAGTGGTGTTGCAATCTAATCTGTGGTAGTCCTGCCATAATCGGCTGCTCGCAGCGTGCTTTTCGGGCTTTACATGTACTGCATTTAGCAATCATGGATCTGACAGCATTTCGTAGGCGTAGAATGTAATAAGACTGACGCAGCTCATTAATCAACGTCGCAACCTCCAAACTTCTTGTAGCAAAATTTTGCCATTGATCAAAAATGGACTGAGCATACCGAGGGGATCAAAAACAGATATGACCTTTAACATCTCCCTCTTCGTTGGTCTCCTCAATCCTTCCAAAATCTGTACATCAACCTTCTTCAAACTGATATCAAAACCCAAGGTGTCTAGAGTTGGTTTCCAATTGAGACCTAGAGTCCTCTGAACTTCGTCATCTGACTGCTGCAGTAAACTAACAGACTCTGACGTCTCTTGAATTGGTAGAACGCAGGGTTTATTTGAATCCCAGCTTCCGATGTCAAAACCACCTGCCTTATGCACCATAATCACATCCC